ACGTTTCATTTCAGCGCCCGAGCTGCCATGCACGACTTGGCACGTTGACAGAGAGTTTGGAAATGACAGACGTGACGAACGTTCAAACGTCAGTACGACGGGACCCCCAGGATCGTGGCATGTTGAAGTTTGACTCCCGACTCAGCTCGGTGACGAATGACGCGCAGCATCGTCAAGCGGGCTCCTCTGTCAAGACTGGTGCACCAGGGAAGACTGCACCAAAGCCGGCTATGACAGCTTCATCGGTGGCGACGCCCGTGGATCAGCAAGATGAGCTACTGATTCTGGTGAGTGTGGTGCTGGGTTTGTCTGGACGAGGAATCTGTTGTGTATAAGTGTCAACAAACTGAAGCCTGTCGTACTTAGCAAATAACGCGTAATTTAATAACAGTTTTATCACGTGTGCTACCGGCGTAACGTCAGTTCGGATTTAGTGGTGGCATGAGTACAGTACGACTGATTTTGCCGCACTGCCCTCTGCTGTCTACCGCGTAACCGTGCCGGTCACCCATGCAAGCACTGTCCAATTTAATAACTTCAGACTTCACATTTCACTCCCCTTCATCCGCAAACTCTGCTGCCCACCCCCCATCTTCCCCTCCGCGCGCAGGTGGGAAGCCACGAGGTGGCGTCGACAGGTCAGGAGGTGGTGACGTTCCTGCGACAGCGTCTGGGCGTGCACGCCGCGGTGCTGCAGGGCGTCGGCGGGGACTACGTGGTGAGCCGCCGCATGGCCGTGAAGCGCGCCGCCACGGGGGAGCTGGCGGGGCCGGCCGGGAGGTCGCGTGTGGCGGCGCGCGTCCGGGCCCTGCAGGAGCGCTTTGAGCGCGTGTGCGTCATCGTTGAGAGGGAGCGCCTCAAGCCCGGTGGGTGTGTGGGACGGACGGACGGACTGACTGACTCGCTTAACACGGAGGTTGTCACGGCTTCGATTTAAAGCTTTCGTGACTGCAGGGATTCATCTTCTTGGTTCTTTCAGTAAAGTCACGTAGAATGGAAATAATAAAACATAATAAAATAATTCTCATGACGTTTCACGACGTTTCGGCCACAATGCAAGCAACCGTCCTCGACAGACCTGTTCTCCACCTGAGGACGGCTGCTTGCGTTGTGGCCGAAATGTCGTGAGAATTATTTTATTATGTTTTATTTTTATTATTTTATTATTTCCATTCTACGTGACTTTACCGAAAGAACCAAGAAGAGGGTTGTCACGGCTGTTATTCCCTTTCATAAAAGTTGAGTTGTCAAGACCCACCACTCCAAACAAATCGTTAATTAATAACAATTTGGTTGGCTCTATCTGGTGGTGCTGCATCTTAATGACTTAGGATTAATTGATGGACTATCTGACTAGATTCTAAACTTGTGATTTGGCAAAATTAATCAGATACCTGGAAAGGGGTTGGTGAATAAGTATGTGCTTACCATAGCATATCAGCCTAGTTGGGCTTGTAGCAATGTCCTCTCCCCCACGAACAGTTTGTTGAATGCCACAATTCGCACATGTTGAGTCGGGGTGAACTCCCAACACCTACGACGTCGTGACTCTGTTCTCCCGATGCGGTGCTGCAGGCGAGATAGGAGCGGTCGCGTCGTCGGCATCGCGCCCGCAGGTGCGCACGCGCTGCCTGGACGCGGCCCTGGCTGGACTGGCCGCGGCAGACGTGCGGGTTCTGTTCAGCTCGGGCCCCGTCGCCACGGCGACGCTGCTGCAGCGGCTGGCGCTCACCGAGCAGCACAAGGGCGTCGGCGTGGTTGGGCCTGCGGAGCCGCACCCGCACGAGCGAGCAGCCTTCGCCTTCTACTGCCGCCTCCCCGGCGTGTCGTACGTGACGGCGCTGGGCCTGTGCAGGGGCTTCCGCAGCGTGCAGCACGCACTCGCGAGGTGGGGCGAGAGTGTGTGGGTTTGAGAGAGTGGGAGTGTTGTGGGTGTGTGCGCGATGGGGAGCGGTGGACAAGCGCACTGCGCTACGAACCCGGCGACCAGAGTTAAATTCCTGCTCGTGGATAACAATCGGTGACGAATATCTGAACCGGTCCTGGGCCTCCCTTAGGTTGACTCAGCCTTAATTAACTACCTGTTACCGTGTGTAATCATCACAATTGGGTAGACAAAGGCGGCGTGGTCCTGTTCACAGCGCACCCTCGTGTGCTGTGCTGGCCTTTAGAGGCTCGCTAATAGCACTTGCCCAAACAGTCAAAGGCTACATAGGGGTGGTCTTTGTGAATGTATGCGAGTATGGGCGAGTGTAATTAGCACTGGGAAGATAAAAGATGGCTGGGTGTGGTGCTGCCGTTTCAACCTTAAGTGCTCCCTAAAAGCACTTGCCCCAGCAGCCTACAAAGGCTATATGGGGTGTATCTTTGTCTGTGTGCTGCCGAGTGGGTATGAGAAAGTAAATAACGTGATCTAACCCAAAAACCTTTATTACGAATAATACTGGTCGGGAAAGCCGAAGTGATAAACTGGGTATGAGAAAGTCGGAGTGCACCCAAGCTGTGGTTTATGGTCTGCAGTATCAAGGACAAGGTCGACTGGAAATACAAGGCAGTGCCCTGGACACGTGAACAAGCAACGCATAAATTGTTTTGGCCATACATCCCAATGCCAAGATCCTCTTTAAAAAGAGAGCCTTGAGACTCGGCGAGCTTTACTTGGGTAATTAAATTACTTTGAATTAAATTTCGATTTAAAGCTTTCGTGACTGCAGGGATTCATATTCTTGGTTCTTTCGGTAAAGTCACGTAGAAGGGAAATAATATAAATATCAAACAATACAAATTCTCACGTTTCGACTGCAACACAAGCAATCGTCATCAGGTGTGAAATCCCCCTGATGATTGCTTGTGTTGCATGATGATTGCTTGTGTTGCAGTCGAAACGTCGTGAGAATTTTTATTGTTTTATATTTATATTATTTTATTATTTCCCTTCTACGTTACTTTACCGAAAGAAACAAGAATATTACTTGGAATTAGTTTGTATTTTCTCAATTGTATCCATTCTAACTTTGTATTAGAGAATGGCCTCTAGTCCATACAGTAAAGGGCAAAACTTTAGCACCCACTCTGCATACGAGTAATGTTCACCAAAGATCAAATTTAACCACGTTAAGTGCAGAACCAAATTTAACCTCGTAGATTTGTTTGTATACAGCCATTGGTAACAGGGGTGAGACTGTCAACTCACTACACGTCTTGGGAACCCAGTTTGATTACAAGCAGCTGCCCAGATTGGAACCCAGGATCTCTGCGTTCTGACTTTTTGGCGTGTGTGTGAGTGAGACTCTGCTGACCTGTGGCCTTTTCCCACAGCTCGGCAAGTGAGCTCCGCGCCAGGGCGGGGATGAGCGACGCACGCGCCGAACGCCTCCACCAGTTCCTGCGCTATCCGTTTGACCCCATCATGCTGCCCGTCCCGCCGCCACCTTAGCATGACCCCCACTCCGCATGGACGATCTCCGACCCCGCAAGCCGCTCTTTCCACAAACGTGAAAAGGCCGGTGTAACCCCCTGTGGATGTAACAATTGACGAGCGCGTAGTTGAAGATGATTATGCTTACAATGCACGCAGAGAGTGGAGTGGCAGCAGTGGTTAGCGCCACCACGCTTTGAATCCAGTGACCGGAGTTTTATCCGCTGTCATGGTTAAGATCGGTGGCATTCTGAGTCCCTCTCGCATCAGCAACCCGCACTGACCAGTGTGGTGAAGTGTTGTCAAACAAATCCCATGACCAACACCGCATGGGGAGGACTTGACATAAGGTGTGTGCGAGTTATTGTACATGCGTTGAATTGCGTGTAGGATGTTGGGTGGTTATTTGCAATTCATTTATTTCACAATAGATAAGGGGTCTGCAACCAAAATACCAAGTAACTTTTTTCTAATTTGGTAAAAAAAATATTTCCAGAGCTGCAGGTTGCCGACCCCTGCAATAGATCCATTCCACGGTCTTGTTTTTGCACCCCAAGATCAAAAAGAATAACCGATTCAAAACATGAATCATGAACTTTAGTTCGAACGTTTCAATAAATTGTGAATGGTACAACTGTTACATTCCAAATATCCATTTCAATCCAAAAAAATATATACTTTTGCTTATTTGCCTGAGAATCTACAAAAGAATGTCTCACAGTTGTAAACAGAAAATATATACTTTGAGAAATAAATATGGGCCGTGTGTGTGTGTGTGCAGTCGGTTGTGGAGATGAAGGGTTTGGGCAGGTCCCAGAACCCACAAGGGTGACCACCACATCCACACTGGGTGATTGAATTAACGATATCAAGCTTACTCCTAGCGAGTACAGCGATGTTCACAGCATGTTATCCCTGGCTGTTTGACATTCTCAACAAAGAATAAAAGACTACCACTTGCCTTAAGTAAATTGAATGTTCAGCGTCTTCATATGCAATACAAATCGAAATTGTATAAATAACGTGTAGCATAGTTAATTGTCAGTTCAGAGCTCCCGAGTTTCTAACACAACCTGCTCTGCCCGACTGTAGCCACAGCCTCGTGCGGCCACTTGGAAACACAATCGTTGCGTTTTGGGTGACGTGTTTCCAGAGACCCACAGGTAACCTATGATTTGGCCACTAGGATCCTATTTGCTGTTGTTTTTCTTGTAAGTTCCAATGCACTATGAATGAATGGGCCCCATCGTCGTTTTTTACGCCAGCAGCTTGAAAGCCACAATGTTGTGTAACAAAGTGCCTGAAAACGATGTTGCTCAATTTTGCTCCTTCCGAAAGGAGTTTTTTTTTTACACCACTGGTTTTCACATTGTGAAAGTCTGATTAATTTTGATGTCGTCATTGCGAAATTAATATTTTTTTTATCTGAGAATCAGTGTACCTTGGCAAGGGTGATGCCTAAAGCTTTAAATGAAATTGAACAGTTCTCATGCAGACCTAATATCAATCTAACTTATTTGAAATAAAAAGTGATTTCTTGTGTTCAGTGTGATGTATGTTACAGAAAGCATCTGCCACAAGATAATGCTGTGCTTTTTATTTAATTTGTAATGTGTCATGGTAATGATAAATAAAAAACGCTTCAAATATAATAAGTGTGTAATTGCCTGAAATTACTCTCTCCAGAAAACAGCAGGAATTAATCTTGCCCCACTGTTTTTAGGCTTATACATCCAAAGCTACAGTAGGTATGGAGATCTCTTTAAAAATATAAAGTGACCAGGTACAGTTGCAGCAGGAGGGCAGTTGAAACTTAGAGCTGTCAATGCCCTGTATTTACACAGCAGAACTTCAAGTCCCAAGATCGAATCAGGAGGGTCCGGCATTGGAATGGTTGGTCATCCACGTCATGTGACGTGGGGGGCAGGTTATTTAACCATACTTCACTATGATGGTCAGCTGTGGGTTTGTGGAAGGCTGGGAACAGAAATTGGAGCATAGAAGTGCATTATAACAATGGATTTTTCCACACTGCCCACCACATAGACCCACAGCAACCTATTGTTGTGCATGGTGGTCACCCATTCAAGCACCAGCCAGGAACAATCATAGATGAGATCGGGCACATTCTCCGAGTTGGTCCATAAGCAACAATTTCAGAACTTTCATACCCGAGCAAAACATACGCGAGTAAGCTTTTCTCATTGAAGTTCAACGAGGGGAACTTTGATTACTCTGGTGCTTTTTTTCTTTTGGTATATAAAGTTTACGCAGTCAGAGCTTCAGAAGTAAGCGCTGGTGACAGGCACGGGAGCAGAAGAACACAAGCCGAGGGGCCTCCTGGCCTCTGCCACCATGGTCCAGTAGCACCACCTGAGTGGCGATGCACCGCAGGTCCAGCGGCAGAGACGTGGCCACGAAGCTGTCGAGCATAAAAGTACCGCAGCCTTCGCACGGCTCGGCCGCGTCGAGCCATCGGCAAAGTTCAGCCGGCACCGAAGCTGGACAGTAGGGCAGCCTTAGGAGGAGAAACACAGGATAGCACGTTTATTATGAGTGGGCACTGAGACATTCATATAGTTGCAATACGTACATCCCTCCACTAACCACCTATCCAATCATGGATTGACCAAGGATAATGTTTTCCAGTGGGCCACAAAATTAGAATGTGCTTGTAGCAACCATATAACTCTGTCCAACGAAATTCTCAATTGAAACCTCAACTTCACTTGATTTAAGATGCAGCAAGCATGCAGTGTAGCGATCCAACTCCAGAATCTGCTAGTCATCCTGCGGTCCGGCCAGTCCCAGCCCAGAAATGTCGCGAGTCTCCGGGGTTACCTGCACGCTTTCGCCACTCGTGCCGCCAGCTCGGCCAGTGTCGGAGGCAGCAGTAGCCGCACAGCGACGAGGTCGTGGGGTCGCGGCTGCTCCAGCGGGTTCCCGTGCAGGTCCAGCACGTCGAGGCGCAGGCGCGCGAACCCGCCAGGCAGCCGTGCAATGGTGTTCCGCGCTGCCGACAGGGACCTCAGCCGGCCGGTGTTAGGCCGGCCCAGCCCGCGCCACAGCGCCGTCAGCCGGTTGTCGTCCAGGCGGAGGTACGCGAGCTCACTAAGGCGGCCGAAGTTGTGCGGCAGCGAGCGCAGGCAGTTGCGCGAGAGGTCAAGCAGGCGCAGCGACCGGCGAAGCGCCGAGTCGTCGGAGCAGAGTGCAGAGGGGAACGCCTCCAGGCGGTTGTCGGCGAGGATGAGCTCGGCCAGGCAGCCGAGCGAGGAGAGCGCTGCCGTCAGCTCTCGCACGTGGTTGTGGCTCAGGTCGAGGCGGCACAGGTGGCGCAGGCTCAGCATGCGGCTGTCCACGCGCGACAGGCGGCAGTTGGAAACCTGGTGGTGAGAAGCGGGCAGGGAGAGGGGTGGATGGGGGGGGGGGCGTGCAGCTGCTTTGTCAATAGAACTGAAAATCACGAAGGTTTTGCATCGGCAGTGGTGCGCAAGCATGAGTAACAAACTAAACTTTTTATTTCATCAGGTAAGGCCCGATGAGCTTATATAGCTCTTTTTCAGAAGCAACCTGCCCTCAAATGATAGCTCAACAAAGTGGCTTATGTGGAAATTTATAGCAGCCAAACACTCTAAACGCATGTTTCTCAATGTGGAGGGAAAAACCGGTGGACCTGGAGAAAAATCCACGCGACCACGGGGAGAACATTCAAACTCCAAATATACAGGCATCAGGGTTGGGATCGAACCCACGACCTGTATCGCAGGTGAGGTAGTTAACACCTCACCGATTCGATATTGGCCATGCGAGTTGTTGCCTGGCAACCAAGCCCCTCCGGGCTGTGGGCCCTGTTGCAGTTGCACTGCCTGCACACTGGACAACAATGTCACCAAGCTTGGCCTTTTCACAGATACGTGGCCAGTATACGACAGATATCTCCATCTATAAATCGGTCAATCTCCCCAACCTCTGAGGCTTTCACTCAGAAATGGATAATCATGGCTGATGAGGATAATTATGGGGAGTGGTGTAATATATACACATATAGATATAACATGTCCACACAGAGCTTTACAATTTTAATAATTATGCTGGCAGTAGTATTACAAGGAAAGGCTCAAAAGTACAAATTCCCTACTGTAGTTTACGATTGTAAAACAAAATGTATATATTTGAGAACCCAGTTTAACACGCAACTTGGTCTGTGAGTGTTGGTTTATATACGAATATATAGGTCGAAGTGTATGGTGTCAATGTAAGTCACTGGTGTCCAGACTCAACTATAAATATTGGAGAATCACGTTAATAAAAACTTAATCTATATTGGTCTATGGGTCTCTTTGTGAAGCTATAGGTTTATGTATAATCCTATGGGTATCTAAGCGAGTTCCTACGTAAGTTATAGATGACTGGGCTGAGACCATCAACTCACTGCACCCGGCAACCTGGTTTATCCGTTGTCGGGGCAGCTGAAACTCCGATTCAAATCCCGGAATCTTAGCGGTGCCAGGCTCAACACCATGACAAAACCCTCACCGACCAAGCGACCTAGCCCACTGCAGCAGAAAACCGACAAGGGAACATTTGCAAGCAATGTGGGGGGGGGGCTGGGGCTGGGGTGGCACCTGCAGCCTCTGGAGGGAGCTGGGGAAGCCGGCGACGAGTGGGTAATTGGCACGGGAAAGTACAGTCATGTGCTCGCGCGGCTTCTCAACGTCCGAGGAGCGGGCAGGAGCCAGCGAAGAGATATGCATCGAGGAGACGTTGTGGTCCTGGTGCGCCAGCCGCAGTGCCGACAGGAAACCCTTGAGCCCCACTGTGCTTGCCTGCGTGTGCGCACACCACCCACCAATCGTTTTGTTGTTAACGCAAACGGGGGGCCAGTTATGTGTTTGAAAGCTCGCAAACAGTTCCCTTAACACAAAGCTCCGTTAATGTTAGCTAGTTTTTTTTGTTCACTCCGGCTAATATGACAAAGGGAGTACGTAGTTTAATAAGAGGTATACACGAGGCACTAGGGTGGAGTGCTGGCCCAGTGGTTAGCGCACTGCACTGAGCCGAGAGACCCGAGTTGGATTCCAAAAAATTATTACGAATGTCCCCATTTGGCTACCCTAAATTACCCTAATTCAGATTAAAGTCCCAACAAGCACTCCATCGTCAAGCATTCACATTTACATCCCTTTCGTGTGGATCATGGGGGTAAGTTTACCATACTGATCAGTGTGGTTTAATAGAGACAAGAAGCAAACACGAGAGCTTAGAAATACTGTACAACAATGGAGGTTGCTGCACTGTCCTCTGCTATCCACCCAATAGCCCCACAGCAGCCTACAACAAATTGGTGGTCACTTATCTGATCACTATCCATATTCAATTGGGTTTATACATAGCAATCATCCCCCCAGGTTACTCTTGCAAATGAGACTGTTATGGTCTCTTGAGGTGTCACCAGCAAAATAAACTGGAAAACTCAAAATGTACATCGCTTCCGTAACTGGAGGAGATTGGGCAGACTCCGGGTGATTTGGTTAGAGGCTTATCATTAACGCAGCGCCTATTTTTCAATCGATGATAGGTACCTTGCTGAGGCACAAGTCAACCGGGGGCTCCTTAAGCCGCACGGTGGCTTTTCCTTCATCGACAAACTTCGTGAAGAGCTGCTCGATATTCCCTTTGAGCTGCAGCGGAAGAGGGAGCAAAAAAAATATCAACAAGGCAAACGCGACACCGTAGCACCACTGTCCAGTAGTGTAGAATATACACAACTAAAAATGAGTGTCTGACTGGCTGTCGTAAATCTTGCAACCCCTAGGGTCATAACCACCAGGCGCATGTCTGTAGGCTATGACGCACTATCGTTAATTTTCGGACAATCGTTACCGGAAACTAACTTGCAGGGAGTACCCTAAATATCTCAACTTGTTGTGTTAACGATTAATGGTTTGTGCTTGTACACTCATGAAAATGCAGTCGCCCTATATTTTAAGTGACCGTTTAAAGAACTTGATACTGTAATCACAATATGGACCAATAATTAGGGTTTTTGGAATTTCTAAACACTCAGGATGGTGTGATATCCATTTACACTGCCGTGTTAAATACACTTGCATTACCGTTTAAATTTTTTTTTACCATGCAATTATCCAATTGCATTTCTGCAATGAAACTGTGTGGCAATTAACATATGGCCAGGGTTAGTTAGTTGTTTTACCGGTAGTTGTGCTTGTAAATATCGTGCCCTTAAATTACCCAAAAAGCCTTCCCAGTAGCAACTCTTTTGGGAGTATCATAAACTGTAAAATTCATCCTATTCCGTTCAAGTGTTTGGTAAGTGGGCAGAAACCAGAGTAACCCAGAGAAAATACATGCATTCGAGGGGCATACACACCACCACACCGACTCAATCCACAGATCGTTCCAAGCTATTGGGGCCCCATGACTGCATTATTATCTCCAGCCCCGGGGCATGCAACACATGTTTAGCGTATCAATGGGCCAGCCCGTGCCTTGTATCTGGAGCCGGCTTTGTCCTTGCTGCTGCAGACCATGAGCCATAGCTGACCGTGCGCGTTCTTGCCGTCCTTATCTCCACCATCGCCGCCGCCGCCACGGGCTCCGATGGTCAGGACCGACCAGATCCCGCGTCCGCGACCTCTCAGTCCACACGATGGCAGCAGACGGCTCGAGGTCTCCACGTCGCATTGCAGCCGCATCCCGACCGCCTGTGTCTTCCCAGCCGCTACAGAGGCACAAAGAGGCAGACAAATATCATGCATTCACTCGCATGGATCCTGTAACAACTTCCCAGCGTGCGTTTGTTCCATTTAATTCGTGGTACGGAAGCCGACAGGTATAGGCGTTGGGGCTAAACACGTTTATAAATTGGCCTTTTTGGTACAGATGTGTCTCCAGCATGTGGGCATCACTGTGATCAATATAGCCAGTTTCTATAGAGCAAGTCCGTAATAGCAGGGTATAAAGTTGTGCTTATACTGTACTGTTATTAGGGACTTGCCCTTACACTACGAGTAGAAGCACAACCTAATAATATAAAGTCGTGTTTAGACTTGTACTATGTTTTGCCACAAGTATGTGTGATTAATGCACAATTGATGTCTTGTAATCGGCATCTATTTGGTGTTTTAACATCTTATTTCCAGAAAGGGTAAAGCTTATTGTTACATCAATTCTCATTATTTTTGTACTGCCAAAAATGTTACATAGACACCCAAGTGGCACGATTGCGTCACGGCGGCAGCTTTCAAAGTGGCGCTGAGCTAGAAGCTACGCGCGCCTCTCGAGTTACTGTTGTACGTGTCCGTGTTGTTATTATTACGATTAAAGACACTTCACTTTGGTAGACGCGTGGCTTTCATTACCGTGTGCGCGGCTATGCAGTAGAATCTCGGCACCAGGTCCTCCGGCAGTGTCCCTGAAAGAAAGAAAAAAGCCCCCGCAAGCCGTATTTGTACTTTACAATACGTTTACGAAACATATCCGGCAGTACTTTGACAACAAACCCGCGCTGACCACGGTTAAGTATGATCAGAGCACTCCATGCCCACTCCCCCGTTTACCGAAACGGCGTGTGGAGGACCTTCACCCAGAACTGGTTTCATATCAGGGGCTGAATATTACAAATATCGGGTCGCATTAGAACGCGTAGTCTGGACGTGAACGCGCCTGACAAACGATCTCAACAAGTATACTCGCTCATCGTCTTAGTTTCCAACAGTGAATCGCACACCGCGGCGGTTAAGACATCGAGGCAATAAGCCGCTTTTATTAATCTCCTTCGTTTATAGAACGAAACGGCAATGAAGACACATACCAGACGCGCACAAAAAAGTGCTTTCCCGCCAAATTTCGGACGCAGACTGTAACGCCGCGCGGTTTAGACCAATCGCGAAGCGCGTTGTATCGCGTCGACGGAGCAGTAACGAGCTTTCTCATTGGTCGAACTACGCTTACTACGTCACGCGTCTAAGTTGCTGGGGTTGGGGGAGGGGCGTTAGTTGTCGCTCTCGACCAATGGGGAGCGCCTAACTGGCGCGTGATCGCACGCAACCGACCAATGAGAGGGTGACATAAGGGGGCGTGATCAGAGCGTGCGAGCCAATCAACGAGCGCCTCTTCGCAGCTGTTGAAAGCGCGTGAACTTTGAACAGCTGGGGACTTGGGCCCCCTTTGTTGATGATGCTGATCGCAAAAGTTGCTGTTCGCTCCGTGTTGCTACAAATTACAAACGTGCGCATACCTTTATATTAAGTTCGCTTGCTTGCTTAGGACCGTGCAAATCTTTCGGTCGTTTTTTTAACCCACTTCCCGTGATCCAATCGAGCTGACATTTTGCACACAGACTCGTTGTGCGTGACAATTAATGTTCGTGCAAATTTTTTTCCAAATTTTACACTTTTTAGGACAAAAATATTATATTTATTTACCAATTGCTTAATGGTGCAATGCAATCATCTGACCCATAGGTGGCAGCCATCTCAAGCCAGAGGACGAGAGGACTCTAGCCGCCACGCATATAAAGGATTTATAGTGAAAAACTTTGTTTTTACCGGTTATACTTATTACCCTTTAAACTGGTATAAAACTGACACATTTATACAAGGCATCATAAATTTCGATTTAAAGCTTTCGTGACTGCAGGGATTCATCTTCTTGGTTCTTTGGGTAAAGTCACGTAGAAGGGAAGTAATAAAATAATAAAAATAAAACATAATAAAATAATTCTCGGACGGCTGCTTGCGTTGTGGCCGAAACGTCGTGAGAATTATTTTATTATGTTTTATTTATTATTATTATTTTATTACTTCCCATCTACGTGACTTTACCGAAAGAACCAAGAAGACAAGGCATCATGTTTGCAATAACCACAACACAAGCAATCAAAATGCAAACAAAAAGAAACAACTCTGATGATGATAATGATATGCACTGTTCTTGAAGTTGATTGGTCCACACCCGAGACAGCTTTTCTTAGAGCCTAGTCTCACATGGTGTTGGACCAAATGACGCCAAAAGACGTACAACTCAAAAACAGCGCACTATCAGAGTATTGAGAGCTCGGGGTAAGCATTTACACAAATCGTCTGGTGATACTGCGTTGCCTTGTATAAAGGTGTCAGTTTTGTACCAGTTTAAAGGGTAAAAACCGACTACTATATTTTGCCACTGGTAAAGGAGGTCTCATAGTGCGCATACCTGTCAACCCATACACGGGTTTGCCGTATGTTGTACGGGGAAATTGAAGATTTAGATTCAAACGGCGTACGGGCAACACATTTTTGTCAATTTGTGTTTATCCCCTTGCGATGGGAATTTGTAGGATGAACGTTGAGATTTATAAAGGGCACGGGGTGATCAATAAAGTCTGAATTGAACTGTAATAAGGTAGGCACTGATACGGGGTAGGGAGTTATGTGTGTGCATTGCATAATGATTTACAACAACAGCCGCAATTATCCGTTCAAGTGGCGGCCACGTCACCGCGACGCTTGTGCCAGGCTAGGTGCACTTTGAGGCCAACGTGAAGTGTTGTCGAAGACTCGCTGGCAGGAAGGTCACGGGACAGACCCAGGTGCTATGGGTTCGCTGACTGAGATCGACTGGACATATGTGAAAAATAACTTTATAGCTCATCGGATTTCTCCACTATAAATACATATTCTGGTTCTGAGATGCCATGCAGATGCATCGTTCCTTTGTTCTAAGAAAAAAATCGTCTGGTGATACTGCGTTGGCCAGTGGTACACAAACAACAACAAAACTCATTCGTCAACAACATTCCCTCGAAATGAAAAGAAAACACCGTGCCGTCATGGGCGAAGTCCGTTCTAAGTCATTTGCAATTATAGTTCAGCTCTTGATATATTGAGGGGTTTTTTGTATTCCAAATTCGGAAAAAATGTATCAAATTATTTTGGTTTTCCGACCCCTGTTCAGAGTAGAAGAAGTCACATCGCCCATCACGTCCTTGTAGTAGTAACACCGTGCTCCCAGCAGAGGGAGAAACTGATCCAATTTCAATTTCTGACACTTGCGACAAACTAAACCACAAACTTTTTATTTATTTGACCAGGTAAGGCCCACTGGGCTTGTATACCTCTATTTCAGAAGCGACCTGGTTATCACAAATGATAACTCAACGAGGCGGCTTATCAAGTGGACATTTCTAGCAGCCAAATACTCTAAACGCGTGTTTCGAAATGTGAATGTCGACGGAAAAACCGGGAGGACCCGGAGAACAATCCACGGGGAGAATATGCAAACTCCAAATATACAGGCGTCAGAGGTGGGGATTGAACCCACGACCTGCTGTATACCAGGCGAGGTAGTTAACATCAGATGTTATATCTGCCATTCCCTGTGTAAGTCGTGGTGATGAAGCATACTGTAATTCCCCCTCCTAGATTTTAGAAGCAGAGAATTTTGCTCCCCCAATTACCTGGAAAAAGTTTGCCTCTTGTAAAAGAAGGGCTCTCAGATAATATTTAGTTTTCAGCCCTTTGATGAAAGATTCCACCCAGGACCTTTATCTGAATGAGAATATGTAGGGAGGAATCCGATGAGCTACGAAGCTCATTTTTACAGATTTCCAGTAGGGGTGGGTCAGAAAGTTATTATAGCAAACAAAAAAACCGATAGAAGTGCAAAATAAAAAAAATGGTAAGCAAGTCACCAAAATTAAATAATGCATAACTAATTATATAAGTAAAATTAGCTTGGGCAAGTCAGCAAACACAACAACAACAACAGTCCCAGACCACACCAAGACAACGCCACACAGCAGTAGTCCCTCAATAAAATGGCTCGCCACTGATTGTTGGCCGTGTCCGATGATTTTTCGTTTGCATTTCTCTACAATTATAGCATTGAAAAGAAAAATGCAAACGTGCTTGAGCAGGACACGTCTCCAGGAGGGACGATAGCCGCTGGTCGAGACGAACGACGGATTGGAAGCCAAAGAACACGCGCACTCGAGATGACGACCGTCGCAGAGATGGAGCCCATGCCATCATCGGATTATGTCCACGTGCTAGGTCAACCAAAATCACAAGAGGAGTCCAATTTTTGTTCCAATTCGGTAAAAAAAACATCACTCAATATTTCAAGAGCCGCAATGTACTGTGGTGGTGAATACGAGACGGTGTGGTACTTAATAAAACACATTCCTGCGGAGGGAGCTGGTAGGAACGTTGGGTTGCTCGGTCAATGGCCAGGGTCAACGGCGGCGTGGTGTATTCCGCAAATATGTCCGACTGTGAGGGCGGGCACAAGCCGGCGTGAGTAGGTTAAACGTTGAGTTTTATAAGGGCACTACGGGGTGAACAGCCCCTCCCCACCCAGCTCCACCCCTCCCACCCTCCACCCAGCCCCACCCCTCCCACCCCCCACCCAGCCCCACCCTCCCCACCAAGCCCCTCCCCACCCTCCCCACCCAGCCCCTCCCCACCAGCCCCTCCCCACCCGCCCCACCCAGCCCCTCCCTGCATGACGAACGGACGGACACAATAATCCCCTGTGGGCTGGTGGAACCATGTGGTTGCTACCAGTATCATGGTCACGAAGCAGTCGCTTAAAGAGCCGGGCTTTGGAGCCGCAAGTTGGTTGACCCCTGTGCTAGATGGATTGTTGGAGCACACGGCTACCAGAAATGACGACGCCACGGAGAGGCCTTCACCCAGCAGTGGATAGATCATGGCTCATTTATCAAGTGTGATTTGTAACTTTTATCCCTGTGTATCGACAGTTCGATGTTAATGTGCCATTTTATTGACGGGACTACGGCTGTGTGGTGTTATTTTACTGTGGTCTGGGATTGTTTTGTTGTTTTTGCTGCCTTGTCCAAGCATTCATATAATTAATGTATTAACGTAGATATTATTTATTTATATTTGGTGACTTGCTTACCATTCTCTCAAATTGGCACTCATATCGGGTATTGTTTGCTGTTGTAACTTGCTAACCCGCCCATACTGGATATTTGTAAAAAAACACAACAAAGAGCTTCACAACTCATCGGATTCCTCCCGCAGTCTAAATATTCTGATTCTCATGGCTGCTGCTGATGTTGTTCTTGTGAAGATGCTCTTCCTGAGCTATATTGTGCCTGTGAGCAAGGCACATTGCCATCTGGCCTCTTAAGCCATGACGTAGATCTCTGCACACCTGGGTGTTTTAAATGGCATTGGCAAAACGAGGTTCTCATTAAGGAACATCCCATTAAGAGTATGGGTCCCATTAAGAGTTGGCCTATCTAAATATCATTGAACGTTTTGCTAATTGGGCTAAAAAGGGAATGTGTAATGACACAACGATCTTCGTTTTTCTCTCCGCTGCAAGGCAGGGTTGGCGATTCCTCCAGGGATTACGTGTGAAATGCTCGCTAACACGATGATGGCGCGGAGAAAGTACAGCAAGTAGCAGGGCCATCTGTAGTCGGGGTGCGGGGCCAGGGGAAAATTCCACTGTGTGTCCCCCACCCCCCGATGCATTCAAACTAAACCAGAAGTATGACATCTGACTTTAAACAGCGCAGTGTGTGTTGCAGCGGGCATTACGCACCTGCAAAATAATCATTTCCGAGTTTGTCCAATAGACGTGCTCCATGCCACTGTCAGTGCAATACGAACTTCGATATGATCAACAGCAGAGCACGAGCTCGTGTCACACACAACCAGCAGTGGATTCCTCCATCCATCCATCGGTGTCATCTCAGGGTGCCGAGGTCGCCTGGCTAACGTGTGCCAGCACTTCCTCTCCGCACGAGTGGTCAGGATGTTCCCCGTGTTGAGCTGCTTCCACTTCTTAATGCCATATTACCACATCCGCCTTTGTCTTCCTGTCGCTATTCTGCCTTCGATGTTCCCAATTTGGAGGCGTGGTGGCAGGAAAGCTTCCATCACAACACGGCAATGGAGCACGCGTAACCTAGCAAATGTGACCGGCCCAGAGTGCGCCTGTGTGAACCACGGGCTGACAATTAAAGGGAACTCAGAAGTAGTTCTATGGTATCCGCTTTCAGGCTTACTTCGAACGTGAAAGTTGCACTGCTCTGGGAGAGTTCCGAACGGATACTTTGTCTCAAGGGAAGAAACCAATAGTATACAATCAGGATAAAGTTGAGTGGAAAGACAAAGAAAACAAAAGTGATCAGAACCCTCAACCAGCCACGCCAAGTTTGTCCATATCTTGGAAAAGGGAACATGTTTCCACCATCTCGACCACCTTTGTCCAAACGCAGCAAACCTGACGGAGAAGCTCAATTCATTAATTCTACTAGACAGAGAAACAGACCGTCTGTTAAGCATTGACAATGCATTTCATCATCGTTATTATTGTTTGGATGGGTGGACGGTGGATGGGTAAGAGAGAGAGATGCAGGATATTGAGGTTTGACGCACACTGTGCTTTTAGCGGTTTCCATGACAAGTCCTGACATTACGATGTCAAAACTACAGGTCCACCTGCCCGCAGTAAATTAGCTTGCACAGCACATGCATGACTGCAATTTAAATCGGTTGACCTTATTAGTGCTCTGCACATTGGAGTTGGACATTGGGACAGTGACAGGCCACTGCCCTTCTTGCGTAACCATGAGCCCGTATTGCGTATTATGTAAAATGTCAAGTCATATGGCACACACCGTAGGTTAATGCCTCATTTAGGTGATTACGTATGTCTGTGTGTTTTTGGGCTATAAGATTTCTCAACAAACTGTTGACATATGAAAGCCACTTTATTGACAGTAAACAAAACATTGAGAAATTGCGTCATCATCAATGGTACACAAGCAAAAACACAAATGCATTACATGTATTAATAACGCGCTCGTTTTAGCAAAAACTTACATAACAGGCTTACATTTCAGGTAACGGCCCTTATTTGGAGCAGATAGCTGTGAGAGAAATATGTTTAACAAGTAATAAATGAACACGTAATTTTGTCATGGCCCATGCGTAACATTCAATCTCCAACCCCAAAGTCAGTCAATATCTGTCTTCGTCTCTGAAGAGACATAGCCATGAAACCTTAGCCTATTACTCACGCAATCTTTTTTGTCTGTTGTAACACGGGACTAATGAGGATCGTTGTGAGTGCTTTTTTTTTTATCAATTGAATTGTGTGTCTGGTCTCATTCAAAGTTTGTGGGGCTAATATTCCTCCATGTGTGAACAACCAGTGCATGAATTGCGTTGTGCTTTATGCATGTGTGTGTGTATAATTGTAAGTACCTGATAGGCGGTGTGTAAACAACATCAGTACTGGGGAGACAAAGGCGGCCGGGAGTGGTTACTGGTTACCCACCCCTTCATGTGCCGTGCCGGCCTTCATAGGTGCCACTCCCTATCAGCCCTTGCCCCAACAGTCTGTTAAAGGTGATGGGAGGGGAGATATTTTTCAAATTTAAAAACGTTCTTGTTCAGGACCAATGGTGTTGGTGATTTAAATTGTGAAGTGAAGTTTTCCCAAAAAACTCCTAGCTACTCTCATTCGCCTCTTTATTGGTTTCTTCCAGGGTTCAATTCTTGCCCATGGATAACAGGACCAAGTGATATCTGAAAAGGTACCTTGTTGTGGAGTGTACAAACATCAGCACTGGGGTCACAACGGTGGCCAGACCCACCCTCTTGTATGATGCCATGTTACCATTAATTGGCACTCGATAACAGTACATACGGTCATATCACGAACAATATATAGTGTAATATACGCTCATATATTTATGTATGTATATGATTACATGATGTATGCACATGTAAACTCAAAGGGGAATATACTGTTATTTTACTGCTCAAACGATAAGCATGTTACACGAATAAGTAACATGAATACAATAATAACTAAACTAAACTCGATGTTATGGAATTGGTCAAACATTCCAATGCAGGGCACTCATAAAACATAACCTTAACACTCAGTGAAACCACTGTGCATATGCTTTTCGTGATAACCCGCATCGGATTATCACGGTTGGCTACGTACGGTGCAAAAGAAGTTCAACGTGCACGCGTACGTACGGCAAAGTAATCTTCTCCACCTCTGGAGTGGAGGAAACTTAGGGGCCATAGTCTCAGTTAGAGCCCAGCTCAGACTTGACCCACTAAGTAGCTTCCAAAGACGCGTGAGCAAGCAGCAACAGCCGCAGCAGCTTGGCTCGGGATCAGCTCGTGGAAAATCCTGAGAGTGGCTGGGACCGTGCTCAGAGCCGGCTTAAGCTGAGTACGACTGTGAGCCGGCTCACTCGAGCCAGAGCCAAGCCTCAGCTGAGCCGTGACTCAGAGCACGAGCATTAGTGTGACTCCAAATGTTGATTCTACGTTATCACGCGGTAGTTAAAGAGGTGGTTGTATCCACAAACTGGCACTGGAAGCAGTAGCAGCAGCAGTCAACTGTTGACAATCATCATCATATTCCACCTGCGGCTGATGTATCCGTGTCATTCCTTTCCCTCTCACTCTATCAGTCAATATTTGTCTTGGTCGCCCTGTGCCTCTGTTCTATTCCACACGTGGCACCATTGCTTTTGCCGGATTCCCCGTTTGGTTGCATCATATCCCGACGTGACCGTATCCTAGCAGTCTGCGTTCCTCAATTTATTTCTATCCTCGTTCATTCCATCTGGGCCGTGACGTTTCCCAGCGGTAGTGCATCCGCTGTTTGTTGTGCAGGTTCACAGTTCGATCCCGGCGATCGCTCCGATTATTGCAGCGGCTCTCAATCTAAAATAGCGCGCACCGTCTGCTACACACTGAACGGTAAAGATTTCCTGACGTCATTTGCAGGAGTAAGCCATTGTGCGCTGGCGTTAGGGTCAAATAAAAAAATACATGACACTGCATATGACTCATTTGGGACGATAGATAGAAATCATCGCCCCCTGCTGGCAGACAAATGCCCCAGGGTCACTCTTGCAAATGACACGATCCGTATCTCTTGAGTTGTCAACTGGTTAAACGAAATACACTTCAAACGTCATAAACTTTCTTTATGTTATTTATAATGTACTCAAATGACTTAGATTAACCGAAATTACATTAATTGCATGGAATTGAAAGTTTTAATAATGTGTATCCAGCACCCTGAGTTTTAAGGACGGTGCCTTGAAAGACAAAGTTTGAATGATCTTCATTTCCTATACTATGTCTTTTCCACAAATAGCAGAATATATATTCTTCTTGTTTCCTTAGTATCCAAGTTTGTGATCCGTATACACCGTTAAAACACACAAGTGAGATTTACTTATAATAACGCAGACATTTCATTTGTTTTAACCCAAAAATGTATAACAATGTTGAGGAATGTGTTCCCGATTTTCTAATACATTAAGATACGAAATTTTGTACGGTTAAAAAAGATAGTTTCGAATATCCACTCCGCTAAAAGCCTTGGAAATGCAACTCATTACAGGAAGTGAGGCCACTCGTGTCAATATCATCACTACCACGCTTTTTCGCACCCAGAAATTTAAGCAACTGTGCGTATAAGTGAAAAGTCAGCGTTCTTGGCATTGGCTTCGCTATCGAGTGTACAGGCGGTGCAACTGCACCTGTGCCCACGTGTCAAGAGTGGCCCAGCCGCCAGGCTACGCAGACGGGGGAAGGGCAGACAGGAGGGGGTCCTATTTCATTCTGTGTGCCAGGGGCAGTGCCAATCACGGTACCTCACCGGCCCTTAGCCAGTTATGGAAATTCCGCATTGCTGTGGAAGGGAGCAATCACCTCCATCGAACATCTACCATATAAGACGAAAGCATTCATAGTCGCCGGGTTGGATGTCGTCACGCGGGTAAGGAGGAGAGGTCGTGCGAGGTCGCAGTGCTGACTGCCTCTTCCCCATCGCCGGGGACCCTGAGCTGAGGGTCTTTCCCGGAGGAGGCCCGGTCCCTGTCCCCTGTGCCCCCCGGTCCGGGTCCCGGTCCGGGGCCGCCCGTCAGGAACCGCCTTGCTCGCTCCCATCCCGAGCGCAGGGCGTTTTGGAATTTCCTGTGCGGTGAGGACACCAGACAAAAGTGATGTTGCACGTTTGTTGATTTTACTGTCACGGTGGTTTTGATAGTTTTGTCGCAACTTAATCTTAAGGGTTTTATGTAGTTGGTTGTGTCAATAGATATTCTGCTTAAGTTTATTTGATTGTATTAATACAGAGCAGCGGTTCTCGAAGTGTGGTCCCAAGGTTCCACCAGTGGTCCAAGACGGTCCTCCAGGTGGGCCACAGGCTGTGATACAAATGCAGGTTGATCCCGAGATAATGACGATGTTAACACCTTTTGTTATGGACATTAATTAATATTTTAGTTATCATATTTAATTGAAAAAGGGAGTTACGTAAACTACCCTTATTAAACTCCCCTAAAATTAAAAACGAAATGCCACCTCTAAAAAAATCCTTATGAATCAATTTGCATTACTAGTATTTAGAGATCATTGAATGCGTTTTGTTACTAGGGGTGTGGGGGCTCGGTGGTCCACGGGCCAACATTTTTTGAGAAACACCGATATAGAATATCGACGTAGCGTTCAATTCTCAACGCAATTTTTTTTTTTACTTAGTTTAGTTTTAAGCAAAGCTTTGTGAAGCGCATTGAGTTACGGCAGCCTTCAGAGGCTACGCACGTTGCAATTGTATTGCATTGTTTGCGACTGGAATTCACCCCTTTTCGGAGAAATTAGTACGGTTTGCCACCGTATGGTTTTCATTACACTAAGCCGAGATGGACGCAGAATGTCTAATCATTCCCGAAACAGCTTGGGGGGGGAGGGCAAACTCTTGAACCTATTTATTTTTTTCCTTTTTCCCCATGACTAGCAATCCCACGTACAGTGGCCGTGACCGTTATTGACTCTTACTTTTGTCGGAGAGAGTTGGTCCAGGGATTGAGCACAGACGTGAAGACGAGCAACCAGGTGGCCATGGCCTGTGCGATGGGCGGCACGGGGAGGCCTCCCAGCGCCGAGTAGAAACCCACGGCGACGTAGGGACTCCAGCAGACCAGCATCGTCACTACCGCCAATGGAAGCATGGTTGCTACAAGTTAAAACTCAACCATGAACTATTTTTTATTTTACCAGGGTAAGGCCCGCTGACCCAAACTGCCATAGCTCTTTGTCAGAAGTGACCCGGCTACAAATGATAGGTCAATGAAGTGGCTTACCACGTGGAAATTTATAGCAGCCAAATACTCTAAACACATGTTGATTCTAAATGTGGAGGGAAAAACCGGAAGACTCGGAGCAAAATACACACGACCACGGGGAGAGACACGGCAAACTCTAAATATACAGGTGTCAGGATTGGGATCGAACCCACAACCTCCTGCTTGCCAGGCGACGCAGTTAACATCTCGCCACCGCAGCGCCAGGTTCTCGTACCTAATACCACGATCATATTTATTTTCTCAAAAAAAACCTTCAACACATTCATCAATAACTCTGTGGCCTTAAAAGAAAACAAATATATAACAGGCGACATTTTGGGCAATGGCTTGTCTGGCTGCATAGTAAATACATGTATAAACGCGCAACTCTTATAATCTAAGTTATCACAAGTGCGCAGTAGCACTTCGTAGCACATTTATTATATTATTATAAAATAGTATACCAGTGTTATGGATGATTATGTTGAGTCTTTTTGTTTGTTAATTGTGCTTGTGCACCACTGTCAACATAGCATCACCAAAAAAATGTGATTTTTCTTTTTGGGGTCAGGCCACGTGGTGGTTATATTGCCGAGTTCATTACTTGATGAAACTCAAAGCAGTTTGATGTTGAACCCAGTCACTATTGAGGAGCATTATTGGCCAGAATGCAATGAATACATTGGCACGTTATAAATAATATATTGATATACGTGACAATCTTGAAACTTTCAACTTGATATTGTGAGCATTATTGGTCAGGATTTGAGCAATTCAGTGGCACATATAAGTAATATATTTGCAAATGTGAAAATATCATCTGGTGGTGGAGGGTGAATGATAACAATTTTGCCATAAAACTATGAATGTATGGGCCCTGGACCAAAACACCGATTTTGGATCGTGGTTTAAAGTGGTTAAAGTGGTGTGAAAAGTGTGCAGGTGAGCACAGAAAATAAACATACTACCGTACATAACTTAATACTAGCATACATTATATACTACACTAGCTTAACTACCCGGCTTCACCCGGGACTTGGATTCTTGTCTTGGAGTAATAGACGGCCTATGCGGAGGGTGGGGGGGGGGGTGCGTGACGTCATCAGGCACACTGCGTGACGCTGCCGCATGCGGGTGACATCACAGATGTGACATCACAGATGTGACGTCACCGCTCACTTGCCGTGCAAAATATATCCATTATTGCGCCCCCCCCCCCGCCCAAATACAAAAGTCTATTTTTATACTTTTTGCTTTGTGTACAGTCTGGAAGCTACCCACATGCCAATTTTCAAGTTTGTTGAATGTTGGGAAGTATGCTAAACATTTCGAACAGACACACATTCACAAATTTCCCTTTCATATATATTTTTATACTTTTTGCTTTGTGTACAGTCTGGAAGCTACCCACATGCCAATTTTCAAGTTTGTTGAATGTTGGGAAGTATGCTAAACATTTCGAACAGACACACATTCACAAATTTCCCTTTCATATATATAGATAAAGGAATTCTGGTGCATTTAATGTATAACACATGAAGGAATCCAAGTGCATTTATTAAATATTATGTATTACATAATGGAATTCTCGTGCATTTCATGTTTAATACATAAAGGCATTCGAGTGCATTTAAAATACTTGATATGCTCCGGCGATTCCACAATCCATCTGGACCAAATGTGGAACGCATGGACCAAAACACAGCAACCAAGTTGTAAAACAAGGAGGCCAAACATCGGCAAGCATAATCTGACACGTGGGAAAATGTGCCATTTCTCGCGGTTGTGTTTTCGTGTTGCGCCTCGTCTCACTCGGCACAATAAACCAACTGAATTGGGAACTGAAGATTTCTCCCAGAACTGATTTCTTCCTAAGCTCCCACGGCAAGTGGTGCGAATCGGCGGCCATCATGCCAAACGACGCGCGATACGGCGCGTAAAAGCGCGCATGCCGGAGATGGAACCCTGAAGCTGTTGCGGGTCCCTAGATGAGAGGGTGAGAAAGCTGCGGTAAGTGCCGATGTGAAAGATGCAGGCACTGAAAAGGCGACGTCATGAGAGCCGCAGTAAACAAGAAACATGGATGAGACTGAGAGGCAACAACAATAACGATGACAAAAGGACCACAGACATTGCCGTAGCTAAAGCCAGCGGTGACGGTCGCCGGTAACCCACACAGCTCATCAGCCACACCGTGGCAGCTATTGAAATGCGAATGAATGAGCCGAATCGAATCTTCATGCGCACGTATAGAGTGGCAGGGCCCAAAATGGTATATCTTCCGTAAAACGTATGATGTAAGCATGCATGTTGAACTTCTTTCGCACCATACGTAGCGAACAGTGCTAATCGGAGGTGTTGAATTAGGGTGGCAGGGAAAGAGGGAGCGAGAGCTACCATTGGGAACGCAGTGTGCGGGGATGCGCAGCGCGGTGTGTGTGCAGGCATGGGTCGCGCGATGTGGAGTCACGTGACGGAGGAACCGCAGGGATGTAATGTTCTTGTGATGGTCAGCACTGACGCAGCAGGAGAAAAAACATTTGCCACTTTTCATACTCGCTGTGAGTATCTCTCGATGTTCCAGTTATTCCATGAAATTAATATCGGTCCACCTTCAGTTGCTGTCCCAGCGACACATATCTGATCTGTTTCTGCTAAATGACCTGTCTTTGTGTATCATTATCCAGGTCTCCCTTTCAAACAATAACGACAAATAATGGGGTCTCACCTGGTTTAAAGACATTGGACTATGTGTGTGTGTATATTCGTAAAATAGTGTATATGGTTCAAATAATTATAAGGATGCCACGGTTGTGAGATGTTAACTACCTCACATGGTATACAGGAGGTCGTGGGTTCAATCCCAACCCTGATGCCTGCTGTATATTTGGGAGTTTGCATGTTCTCTCTGTGCTTGCATGGATTTTTCCCCGGGTCCTCCGGTTTGTCCTTCCACATTTAGAATCAACATGCGTTTAGAACATTTGGCTGCTATGAATTTACATAAGATAAGCCTTTTGGCGTCATCTGGTCCAACACCATGTGAGACTAGGCTCTAAGAAAAGCTGTCTCGGGTGTGGACCAATCAATTTCAAGGACAGTGCATACATTATTAGAGTTGTGTTTTTTGTTTGCATTCTGACCGCAGGTATTGTGGTCAATGCAAACATGACTCCTTGTAAAAAAGGTGTCAGTTTTGTTGCCAGATAAAAGGGTAAAAAAAACAATGATCATATTTTGCTACTGGCAAAGGAGGTTTCAATGGTGTAAGCCTCCTCGCTTCTGAAAAAGAGCATTTAATCTCTCTAGGTCTTACCTGGTAAAATAAGTTTAAAAAATAGTTATCAATTTAGATTTTTTTTTTTCAAATTTTCTTTCTGTGGATTTCACACCTGATGATGATCGCTTGTGTTGCAGTCGAAACGTCGTGAGAATTTGAATTGTGTTATATTAATATTATTTTATTATTTCCCTTCTACGTGACTTTACCGAAAGAACAAAGAATAAAAATAGTTATAGTCAAAATAATTGGTGACAGTAGATTGTTAATTCACTGCTGGATGAAGGACTCCCCATGCTGCAATGGTCACGGAGGGTTATTGGCCATACTTTACTACACTGGTCAGTGCGGGTTGGTGAAGAAGGGACCCACAACCGGTTCTGATAGCACTGGTGACCTAGTCATGGCCGGGAATCAAACTCAGGTCAGCGAGCTCAGAGGGCAGTGAGCTAACCTATGTGGCGCCACTTCTCCTATATGGCTCTATGGAGACACATTGTGTAAAAAATAAACTGAATATTTGTGTGCGTTCATCTAATACGTAAGCAAATACTAATCGTGTACATATATGCGATTGCACGCTTGGCTTTATACGCGAATGTATGCAGCGTGACACAATGTAGCAGGTGCAGACACGTATAAATATTGTGGGGCGGGGAGGGGGGACTGGTTTGGCGATTTTGTAGAGACGTCGGCGAGTTGGTTACAGGTGCTGCAGCTGCTTTTGTTGTTGTTGTTTCACGCGCTCCAGTGCCCGGCAATGCGAGATCGCAGGACCCCCCCCCCACATCCGAAACGCATCGCTAATTCACACGGTGGCGCAGGGTCCCGCAAAAACGACGCGGCGCAATCGACGCAGAGAACACACGGGCGGACAGAATGCACGGTGTGTCCCTTTTAATAAAGAGCACAAGCACGGCGGCACCGGAACCCTTTGTGCTGCATCGCCGCGCGCTTTTGAAATCGACAAAGCGGCCGGGTCAAGGCTGAACAAAGGTGGCCGAGGCAGGGTTTGGCAACTGTTTAATCAGCACGACTGAGCAAATTTTAATTTCAATGAACTGGATTATTTTGGCAGCTTTTAATTAGAGAAGCATAAACACGTATGAAAAGGACACCCACCGCCTTACCACGGCGCCTCTGCAGCTAAACAAATCAAAACACAAGCACGTGGGTTTTCGCGGCTCTCCGAGGGGTTGGTCAGGTTTACGAACGTACGTAGTTTGTAGTGCACTGTGCCACAAACTCGGTGACCCGAGTTCGATTCCTGTTCATGGCCAATGCCAGTGACAATTATCTGAAATGGCCCCGGGCCTCCCCTTGGTTGATTTGGCCTCAAATGAGTACCTGGTGCGATATGTAAACATTGCCACTATGTATGTTGAATTTGTTTAGCATCGAACGTAGCCAACCGTGCAAATCGGAGGTGCAGTGCAACCGAAAACACATCAGAGCGCTCAATAAAAACGCCGCCTCGCATTTTCCTCGACTCTATATATTTTTTTTTCCCCCAAAGCCTAGCGGCCGAACAAACCCGCGAGCACTCACCGACGGCGGTGATAAGTGGGATGGTGCACTTGATGTAGCGGTTGGCCGGCACGTAGTAGCAGTGCTCGTCGTTGCAGATGAAGGTGCCCTTCTTGGCCTGCCGGCGTGCCGCGTGCACGATGTAGGTGTACATGCCGCACAGCGCCAGAATGGGCAGCACAGCGCCGGCGCCCAACACCAGCGCGCACTGCAGCGCCGGGCGCACCACGCCAAACACGGGCCCGCACGAGCCCTGCGCGCCGCCCGCCACCAGGCCGTAGCTACCCACGCCGGCGAAGGGCAGGCACGCCGTGAGCAGCGCGTACGCCCACACGCCGGCCACCACGCGGGCGCCGCGAGCGCCCGACAGCCCTCGCCCGGCCGACTGCAGCGAGAAGCGGATCTCGACGAAGCGCGCCGCGCTGATCAGCGTCAGCGAGAGCACGCACGCCACCTGCAGCAGCTGGAAGGTGAACGCCTGGGCTTGGCACAGGGTGCCGTTCCACTCCGACGTCGCTGCGGCGGCGGCGGCGCTCGCGTTGATGGAGGGCTGCTGCCAGTCGGACGCCGCCTGCAGGCTGCCGACGGCCGCGACCGGTGCCCAGAGTAGCCCCATGAGTAGATCGCACGTGGCGAGGTTGACGGAGAACGCGGAGCTCTGGGCGCGCAGCGGCTTGAAGGCGGCGACGAGCACCAGGTAGGCGGCGTTGGAGGCCACGGCGGAGACGCTGGTGAGCAGCAGCAGCGTGCCGTAAGTGTACAGGCCCACCGAATTCCACTGTAGGCCAGACATGCTTCCCCCTCCACCCCCCCCCCACCCCGACAGATTTGTGAAATTAACGGACGGTAGGAAGAATTTAATCTGGGGAAATATTATTCCCGTTTTTTTTACAACGGTTGAATTTCATGAGCTACAAACAGCAATGACTGATGGATTTAGAACGCCTTTTCCACATTGGTAATCCTCCTACCTTCTCATGTGAAGCACTGTGCCAGTGTCCGTAGTGCCCAGGGTTGCTACTGCTATGCAACTGCTGCTCCCTTCCTACCTGTGCTGCTCCCAACCCCAAACCAGCGCTGATTACACGCAGCACTCCTCCCCCACCTCCCCCCCTCTTCTCCGCAACCTCCCCTTTTTTATTATTCTTGTGGGTTGCACTCGTTTACCTGGTCAGCCCCACGTCATAGATGGAAAAAAACTAATAAATATATGCTTAATCGACCTCACGTGAAATTAGGTCTTCACTAAAGTCTGTGCAGTGCAGCGATTCAATTAAAATGCGCTGGCATGCTGGATCATTTACTCACAGCCTTAAGCCAAGTGATTGGGAGTAGGCTCTCTTCAGACTCTGTCGCCTCGACGGACCTGGTTTTCACCTGAGGACGGCTGCTTGCGTTGTGGCCGAAACGTCGTGAGAATAATTTTATTATGTTTTATTTTTATTATTTTATTACTTCCCTTCTACGTGACTTTACCGAAAGAACCAAGAAGAAGTAGGCTCTCGCTTAATAAACCTTCAGTGCTCCCGGTCGCCCCTCTCATCTGTCACCCTGCGTTGTGAAGCACCTTAAAAGTCAATCCTGCTTTGCCCTAATCATTCCGCTCCTTTGGCCAACCGGCACCGGCTTGCTGCCGCCGCGGGCCAAGCGAAGCGATACCACACGTGTGGAAGTGGCAAGAGGGGGAACACCAGCGCGACTTCTATTTGCCGAAAGGGGTTTTTTTTGTGTGTGTGCACGTGTAACGTGTGCGTAAGTGCTTGTGTAGCGGTTAAGCGCACTGCACTATAAGCACAGCAACCAGTTCCATTCCCAGCCACCGCTAACATCACTGGTGATTATCTAAGCCAGTCCTGGGTTTCTCCGAGATTGATTCAGCGATGTTTAAACATCAGCAGCGGGGGGGGACAAAAGCAGTTGGGCATGGTGTTGACCACACACCGCATGTGCCAGTTCGCCCTTCATAGGTGTTCGCTAACAGCAATTGCCCCAACAGTGTATGCAGGCTACACAAGCGATCTTTGACTTGTTTGTTATTTATCCTCCTCTTTGAATTCTCGCCAGGCATGCTGTACACAGTGGGAGTACCCACACTTTGCCCCACCGCAAGTTATCTGCCATCGCTCTGCGATACGAGACCACTCTTTAGTTTTTGGAAGAAAGCATTTTGCATGTATATGTGCACAGTCATTTGTCAATCCACTGATGGATAAAGGCCTCCGAAAAACTCTAAAAAAGATGCAGCATTGTCTTTAAAAAATATCTTAAAATCCAACTCATCCAATAAGCTGCAGATTGCAGGTTGCAAAACTGCAACACATTCCTGCGGAGGGAGCTGGTCGGAACGTTGGGTTGCTCGATCAATGGCCAGGGTCAACGGCGGCGTGGTGTATTCCGCAAATATGGCCGACTGTGAGGGCGGGCACAAGCCGGCGTGAGTAGGTTAAACGTTGAGTTTTATAAGGGCACCATGGGGTGACCAGCCCCTCCCCACCCAGCCCCACCCCTCCCACCCCCCACCCAGCCCCACCCTCCCCACCCAGCCCCTCCCTGCACGACGGACGGACACAATAATCCCCTGTGGGCCGGTGTAACCAGGAGGTTCCTACCAGTATAAAATCCTGTTAAATCCAGCGAGCAACACTGTGCGCTGCCGTACTTGCATGTACGGATGTTGAACTTCTTTCGCACCTTACGTAGCTAAACTTGCTAATCGGAGGTGTTGGGAGGGTGAAGGCCAACAAACTAAACACAAAAAATCAGTTCTCATGAAATGTTTTCAATCTGGATTAGTAATTTTTTTGGCAATTTCACGTGAAAGCGGACAAAAATAGGCTTTTCTTCTGCAACAGATGCACTGCGAGAGCAAAGTGTCTGCTCCAAGTGCGACGTCCACATCAACACACAGCCCCCGCTCTACCCACGACCATGATCCAGGAGGCGCGTGCCAGAATTACGCTTACGTGCCATTCGTTTGCGTTACAGTGCCATCTGTCGACGCTGTAGGACAGTGCCTGCAAAGTGGACAAGTACTGGCTCTGACAATCCACTGCTGGATGAATCTCCCTTCACCGTGCGTACTGTGGGTGGGGGGCGAATATGACTACAGGTCACCATGCTGGTCGGTGCAGGTTGGTAGCATAGATGCGAGAGTGCACAGTAGAGTACAACAGTGGAGTATACTACACTGCCCTGAGCTGCATACCATGTAGCCCAGCAGCTGCCGATAACCCACTCTCTATGGTAGTCACCCATCCAAACACGACCCAGTCTCAACCCTGCTTAGCTTCTGGGAACTGATGGGATCAGGTGCATTTTTTCGCAATTTTAGTCAATGGCCACAGTAACATTTCCCACTAAATGACTTGAAGTTACTGCAGTGTAGTTGGTGTAGCTTTGAATTCAAACAAGTAACGTAACCCACAATACTCCAATACCATACATGGTTATTTTATTACAAATCTTTAACAGTACATAAACGTTAAATTATAATTACAGAGGATCGATCTGTTGGAGTCCAAAACAATGTTTGTAAAAGTTTTCATGACACAAGAGTACATTAACCAACCGTGCAAGCACAATAGAAGCACTTGGAAAATCCAGCCGGTTTCACAATACTCTCACTTTAGCGTAGAGTGAATGTAGCACAACTTTACCAAGTGAATAACAAAAACGAAATTGGTCACACACTTTAGGACGTTGGTTACTGTCATTGGCCACCTCGGCCTCTGCCATGCATGCAGCATGAGAGCCATGTTTACAGCTGCTTATAAAAGTCCTGCAATTCAAGTGTTGGGTCTCATGTGTAAGTAGCAAGCTACTTTTCATTCACAATATTTACCAGCATTTGTAGTCTGCCTGTAAATAGAACATGGAGAATGCCACTTTGTTTTTCCAGTGGGTACCCATAACACTTTAGACTTGGCAAGGTAACTCAAATTGGACGTACCCACAACCACAAGTCGTGCTGCTGGGCCTCTTGGTAAGGCCCAGCACACTTCTCGTGTCTCGTCCTAACGCTTTAAGAGTTGCGTGACTCTGTGGGCTCAACACACCCTGCTCCATAATCCCCAGACCCCTCCCGCTCCCTCCACGGCATCTCCGATTAACCGCACCTCCGATTAGTACGGCTGGCTACGTACGGTGCGAAACAAGTTCAACATACATACACAAGTGATTGTAGTTTTCTTGAACGCCGCTTAACGTATGGTTGGGTTGGTTATGCTTTCCTGTTATTGTATTTTTAAACAAATGCAAGGCCCTCAAAGTGACCAAAGCAAGAGCCTGCTGTTGGCCACACATCTCTCTTCCGCCCTGACCCTGCGTCATCACGACCGTTTCCGAGGGAGGCCCAAGTGAAACATGCATCTCTCCCTTCGCAAAGCGAGCCCCACGGACCACTACAAGTGGACGACACAACCCAGTTGAAGCTGGCTTGTCCTGGAAAGGCTGCCTTACTCGGAACTAAATGGTCACGGGAACGTAACAAGTGTAGATCTTAATCAAGTGGCAGTGACTTTTATTCCTCAGCATTTTATTACAAAAAACTATACACGTGGTCGATGAGTTAACAACACCCGGCATGTATACAAGGGGCCCTGTTTTCACAATGTGATGACGCATTAGAGGCAAACGTAAGGGAGCTGTGGGTACTTGGGGGCGGGGGAGGGATGTGCAGGTTTTGACGAAAGCGGAGATCAAACTTCTTCCTCGTTGAGCAGCATGTTGGGGATGCCCTTGGTGATCGGAAACTGGCGCCCCGACTCCGGGCACTGCAGGCTGCCCTCCACCACCTCCACCTGTGGACACAGCCGAGAGTCAAACCTACACAACCAGCTATCCGCAGTCACTCATGCCCTTTTTAAATCCTTTATATTAAGTTCACTTGCTTGCTTGCGCGCTTACGACCGTGCAAATCTTTAGTCGTTTTTTAACCCACTTCCCGTGATCCAATCGAGCTGACATTTTGCACACAGACTCGTTGTGCGTGACAATTTATTTTCGTGAAAATTTTTTCCCTAAATTTTCCACTTTTTAGGGAAATTTTTTTTTTCATATTTAATTTAAAATACCAATGTGATAAAAATGAAACTCTTACTCAAGAAAAACAGAAATGAATAATAAAATAAAACCGATGCCAGGCATATAAAGGATTTATAGTGAAAAACTTTGTTTTTATGGGTTAATTTTTCACTGGCACATCCGATCCGTTTCAACATCAGCCCTCTCGGGTACAGGTTGACTTAGGCTTAAATGAGTGCACGGTGCATTGTGCAAACATCAATACTGCGAATATGAAGGAGACGTCACAGCGATACTCTGCTGCTCCTGACGCGGTTAACTGGCTTGACCACCCGAATGCGAAATTGGAGTTGTTGCTCTGCATTTACATCTGCAATACGAAAGTAGAATACTGGGAAGAGATAAAGGTAGCCAGGGTGCATGGTTCTAGCCATACAACCCCATCGCTGCGCACCGTACCAGCCAAAATAGGGGCTTGCTAACAGCACTAGCGCCAACAGTCTGCTGAGGCTACAAGGGGGATTCTTTGTCAGTGGCAGCTGGATCGAGGGCCCCACCTCCATCAGCACGTGATGAACTTTCTTCAGGAAGTCCTCATTGCCCTGGTAGTTGGGATCCAGCTCCAGGGGCAGGTTATTCAGGTGGCCGATCTGCATAAGAAACACACACACACACAAGTTCGTTATACTGGTAGGAACCTCCTGGTTACACCAGCCCACAGGGGATTATTGTGTCCGTCCGTCGTGCAGGGAGGGGCTGGGTGGGGAGGGGCTAAGTGGGGAGGGGAGGGTGGTGAGGGGCTGGGTGGAGAGGGTGGGGCTGGGTGGGGAGGGGCTGGTTGGAAAGGGTGGGGAGGGGCTGGGTGGGGAGTGGTGGGGAGTGGGAGGGGTGGGGTTGGTCACCCCGTGGTGCCCTTATAAAAGTCAACGTTTAACCTACTCACGTCGGCTTGTGCCCGCCCTCACAGTCGGCATATTTCCGGAATACACCACGCCGCCGTTGACCCTGGCCATTGACCGAGCAACCCAACGTTCCTACCAGCTCCCTCCGCAGGAATGTGTTTGATGTGCATGTCCACATACAGTGCTATCATTCCACTGCTGCATGAGGGCCTCAGCATACCACGAGGAGCGTGGGGGTTTGGCCATACTTCACCAAGCTAGTCAGTGTGGGTTGATGAAGGCAGGGAATAAAAACGTGGAACCAATGAAGCACAGTACAATGCAATGTCGTTTACAGCATGGTCCTCAGCTGGCCACCACATAACACAAACCGGGAGGCTGATTTATTTGGGATGCAAAAATGTATCTACTCCAGAATTTGTTCCAGACGATGCGTGTAGAATCCAGACAAAATATTAGCATTTAGATGTGAAAGATTTAGTTTTTGCTACACTTCAACAACCCCAATTATAGTTCAACTGCACTATCACCATCGTGAAACGAGACAAAGATATACATTTTAAACCAACGGCTAACAGTGGATAAGATAACGGCACTAAAAGAAATCAATTAACTACTTCTGATGTCATTACTATCAACCTCTTTATCCACCCTAAAGGCACACTCTTTCGCCCAGGAAAGAGTGTTCATTGAAATAAATGAAAAATATTTAACGCGATGCTTTCTCTTGCAGTTATGTGTCATACGACAGTTGCAAGCCTTGTTTAATAAATGATGGACCCAGGTTGAAACCCAGGATCTCAGCAGAGCCAATTCAGTGCCCCTTGGTATGAATTCTTACAAGGACGGTCAAACGCATACATCATCTTGAGCGTAAGAATTCAATTTAACCCATAATTAATTCAACGTCTATTTGTTGTCAAGACATTATGCTAAGCGACACGCGGCGCAACCTGAAAAAACATATCACACAGCTACACACGGAGCGGCTACATTCCACATAATAGCACGAGAAAGCGCTTTGAATGAATGATGCGAGCATCAAAAGCGTGTGATGTGTTTTGCTGAAATGACCACATCAGAAGAGCCACAGCAAATAAGAAACATGATAAAAAGCCGAGAGAAAAGAGGGATAAAACCAACAACGAAAGAGCAACAACGTAAGCAAGCGGAGGCACGACTGCAAACAACACACACAGTAATGACAATTGTTATTGGCACGATTGCACGACCATGAACTGTGGTCGCAATGACATTTACAGATATAAACCTGCAAAATGAAACATAGCAAAAAAATACGAAAGCGAAAGAAAATCTGAAAGTATTGAACATCCACGCACACTGTCAGCAGCTTTGCAGAGCGCCGGCCACTCCAACTTGGGGATCATGCGCGCCACAAACTCCGGGTTGAAGTCGACATTCATGACCTTCACTTCCGTGGCCTAGGAAGAGCAGAAGAGGGGCAGGGATGAGAAGGGACACAGCACAGAGTTTACCACAGCAAATTAATAAGGTCTGTCACGTAAACGGAACATGCCAATTCGTTACAAGTATAACACACCGGTGTGTTAGGAGAGTAAATCGACAACGACACATTTATATTTACGTGATCTAACCTGAAAACCTCTATTTTGGATAATATTGGTCACAAAAGCCAACGTGTTTAACGGAGTTTACCACAGTTTGCCTCTTTCCAAAACGTAGGCGAACGGGCGGGTGATCCCGTTTCAATCAGGCGAGAGCCCATGTTACATGGCAGGACCGCGAGAGACACAGGCGGCTTTATCCAGCAGTGGATTGATAATGGCTGATGATGGCCCATCAAGCAAGGTGATATAAAAAGGTGGGGCTTCAACAGTATTTGCAAAGCCTTCAGAATGATGACAAAACAGGAGATTTAATTAGCTGCAACAATAGCAATGCACGGTTAGATTTTAAATCACAACTCATACATGTCCATACATCGTTTAATCCACCGCTGGATGAGGGACCCCCCTCCCCACACCATGTCGGTGATAGGGATTGTTTGACCATACAGTACTTAGCTGGGCAGTGCAGGTTGGTGAAGGCGGGGGCATACACGTGTGGGCACAGGAGTACAGTACAACGGTGTACTCTGCATAACTGCCCCCTGCTGCACTCAGTAGCCCCCTACCTATAAGAACGCGCTGTGCAGATGGTCGCCCATCCAAACACTGTGGAGTCTCAACGCAGTGCATGAGATTAAAACCAGATATAGTATCACTTTCATAATCAACGTTTTTGGGTTTAGATCGCGTTATTTATAAATGTGTCGTAACCCTCCACCACCCGACACGGCCAATCAGTAAAAAAGTGTCACGTTGACAAAAGACAAATTAGTTCACTGCTTTAGCCCACCGGTGTGTTGAAGCGCGAAACCACAACATTTACAATTTGAGTAGTACGACGTTTCGCTGGTAATTGCATCCAGCATCATCGGGCAATTCGCCAGAATGGTGAATGCTCTGCTGTGTCTCCCGTTCTTATATAGAGCAGCAGCAGGGTGACGTCATCATTAACTCATTAACTTGTCAGTACCACCTGAGGTGGCATACATTTAGCTATTCAAATTTCTTTGTGGCCAATAATAGCGAATGATAGGATACACATTCGTACGGAGTGGGTTATCAAGTAATTCACTCGCATGAGCCGTGTAGATAAATTGGTACAAATGTTGACGTAAAGCTTCGTGACAGCAGGAATTCATATTATTTGGGTATTTCGGTAAAGCCTCGTTGATAGAAAAATGATAATATATATTAGTAAAATGATAATAAATATTGTTTTATTATCTATGTGGCTTTACAGAAAGACCCAAAGAATATACATTGGTACAACTAAAAGATGATTCTCTAACTCAGTGGTCGGGAACCTATGGCTCGCGAGCCATATATGGCTCTTTCGGTGACGGCATATGGCTCCCAGACAATTTTGAGTTGAAAAAAATAAAATAAAAATATCAGTTTGGAACTGATTTTAAAATACTTGTAATATTGCTTAATAATACTGTGTCATTTTAAAGTAAACAGAAATTAGTTTTGAAGATAAATTTCACAGGTCACGCCTGCATGAAGCTCAACCTCACCACGTACGAACCAGACTACAAGGCCTTCAGCAAAACCATGCAGCACCAGAAGTCGCATTAAAAGACATATTTAATTTATTATACGTTAAAAATACTATATGGCTCTCAATGCAATATATTTAGAAATATTTGGCTTTTATGGCTCTCCCAGTCAAAAAGGTTCCCGACCCCTGCCCTAACTTATCTGGCACCAATGCCTACCTTGGTCCACGGACTAACGCCGCTTTGCTTTCAAGACTGGATACATTCCGAGTGATCGATATCCGTAAACATTTTCAATAGTTTACAATTAAGATTAAAAAGTATATACACCCGCGGTTCCTAATTTGAGGGACAAAGCGGACCCCTGCCCCCCCAAATATAGAAGTCAAACTCCGCCCATGCCGGTATAGAGCACTATAAGACGGCACAAGTATACATACATACGGTTATCAATGCGTTACAATACAGTACATACAGCAATGACTTCAGCCTTCAACCCGCACCGACCGGATAGGTGAAGTATGGTTAAAACATCATGGGACTTTAACCTTTTATAGGACAATAAAAACAGGTGTTAAGACAATGAATATACTACCAGAGAATGTTTTTGCATGTTCACCACAAGTTTGTGTGGCTAATGCAGACATGATTGCTTGCAAAAGATTTCAGTTTGGCGTTTTAACATCTTAAGACAAGTTTTATTGGCAGAAAGGGTAAAACCTATTCTGAAATGGTTCAAGCAAGCGCCCCGCGCCCCCATCACCGAGTCAACGCCAGCTCAACAGAGATATCTCACCATGTTATCCGTACATTGAGCTACATTTAGTTAGTCGTCAAAATGATCGTGAGTTTTAGCGACTCACAAATACCGATAGAGTCACGGGCAAGTTGGCAAGGCCCAAGATTACGGGACCAGACGCCTCACCGTAATCTTGAGAGGAAATCCCTTGGTGACGCCCTTGACGTGCGAGGTGAGCATGTTGTGCGTCAACAGCTTCATGTTTTGTGCGGAGTCGTTGCTGCGATATTTGTAAGAGCTATGAACGAGCTGCGGGTGATGATTCTTCTCTCGCAGCGAAACGTGCAACGCCGCGACAACACGTGTCGTCAAGATCGCCACGCTCTGTCCCCCCTCCCTCCCCGTGGAAACGACAGAGCGATGTGGTAGGAAAAGTACCGGCTCTCGAATATTGGTTCCGGCTCTGCGCTTCAAGTTCAAGTTGATTTATTAGTTCTAGATTTGAAGCTTTCGTGACTGCAAGGATTCATATTCTTAGGTTTTTTCGGTAAAGTCACGTAGGTAAAACATTAAAAAAGTCAAATAAATAATAATAATAATAATCATGTATTAGGTATAGAGCCCTGTGAGCCATTCGGCTCTTGAATCGGGTGCAACCGCAACAAATAAAAAAACAAAAACATGAACAAAAAACATCTTAAAGTGACTATGTGACTAAGTGCAAACAGAAAATCCAAGAAAAGACAGCAAAATATTGCAGAGAAAGCACCGTTACACACCAACGCTGTGTGCAAAAATCCCAGTGGGATGCAAGTCAAACAACAACAACAACAACCACAAGACAACTTAGATTAAGGCCATCAGTCTAACTCTGTACTACAATAAACAAGCATGGCTTGATGGCAGTGAATTCATGAGGGTCAAGGGGCCGTCCTTAAATGACGTCACGCACCTGGGGGGGGGGGTCAGACATTTGTGACGATGTGTGACGAGGGGGGGGGGGGTGAGAAATGTGACGTCACATCAAAATGCGCAACTTTAAATAAATATAGACAACACGTTCTACTTAAATTTCGATTTAAAGCCTTCGTGACTGCAGGGATTCATCTTTTTGGTTATTTCGTTCTACTTAATTAAATAGACTTTTTTTAAATAAATGTTTTCTCCTACAACATCAGAGTCATTAAATACGCACTACAATGACAATAGATTAAAGCAATTTGAAGCATGTTTTATTTTTGGAGGGGGGGGGGGGCAGAGCTTTGTGACGTCATATTTGAGGGGGGGGTCTGACTTTTTGTGACGCCGTGTGACGAGGGGGGGGGGGGGTCAAAAATCGTCCAAAATCGCGTGACGTCATTTATGGACGGCCCCTAATATAAAAACAATAACAACAACATGTTTATCAATAACAAGGCAGCGTGATTGCACATCGATCATTTAGGTTCTATAAAGAAGGGCCTTTGTCCGAAACATATCCTATTATATATTGTTAAGGCTATAATAGTATTGACAAACGTGTTAAGCGACTGGACGTCTCCTAAAAATAGCTTTACAGATCTTCTTGGCTCTTTCGGTAAAGTCACGTAGAAGGGAAATAATAAAATAATAAAAATAAAACATAATAAAATAATCTTAATTGTGGAGCTTTCGTGACTGCAGGAATTATTCTTTGGTTCTTTCGGTAAAGTCACGTATAAAGATAAAATAATAAATAAAATAATAGCATACGACGTTTCGATTGCAACACAAGCAATCATCATCAGGTATGATGAAATAGCGACATAAAATCTAACCAGAAAAAATTATAGACAGACATATAAGCAGACAGATACCACCAAGATACACACAGCGGGCAACACAGGTACAGAGACGGGTGATCGTCTCTGTGGGGTGGCCTTAAATAGACAGAGGGGGGCGGAGGCAGAGAGAGGGAGGGGGTAGAGACAAAATTTACATGTCAATGAGTACGAGGAGACGCGTAGAGAAGTACGCAGGCTTAGAGGGAGAAAGAGACACACTAAAATTAAATAACCTAGCAAAGTATCGAAATGTTATGTAAAACGACACAGAGAGTCGGTCAACACACAATTAACGCATAGCCTGGTCGATTATGTACTACGGGGAAGTTCCAAGTTTACCTTATTTCTCTCTCTCTCTGGGTTTTTTGTTCTCTCTCTCTGCCTGTTTATTTAGTGTAATTTTTTCTGTGTTGCAATCGAAACGTCGTATGCTATTATTTTATTTATTATTTCATAATAAAATAATTCTCACGACGTTTTGGCCACAACGCAAGCAGCCGTCCTCAGGTGAAGAACAGGGCTGTCGGAATGACAGCGTCTGAATGAAACACCACCAGGCTTGGCAGCGTATATTTAAGCTGGGTTGGAGAGGGAAGAGATAAATGTATCTCTTGATTCTGAGTTTTATTGTCATCTGGGCTTTGCGCACCACTGCCAACGCAGCAGAAGATAATGTGAACAATGAGAATTCCCTCATCAAAACGCTACACCATAGAGCTCAATGTATCTCCGACCATGAACACCTGACCAGTGAACTCAAACACGTACACCAAGCTCTCAGGGCGAATGGATATTCTGACTACACAATCCGCAAAGCCATCACCCCAACCGTGAGGAAGGCGCCATCTGAAGATCCAATCAAAATCATCACATTGCCTTGCATATCAGGGATAACCAAAACGATTTCCTAAATCTTGAACAAACACAAGATCTAGGTCCGATTTAACACAGTGCATAGAATTCGTGACCTGATCCCATCTGTGAAGGACAAGATTCCTGACATGCAATATCCCGGCGTCTACAAACTAAGCTGTGTCTGCGGCAGTAGTTACATTGGGGAAACTAAGCGACATGTCTCGGACCGTGTTCGTGAACACAAGGCAGATCTGAAACACGCCAGGACCAATACTTCTGCCGTGGCTGATTATTACTTTAATGCGGCTGGCTCACATGAAATCGATTTCTATAAGACGATGGTACTTTGCAAGCCGACTGGCTATCAACAAAGATTCGTTCACGAAGCCATCCATATATACAGACACAATTTCAACCGAGACGACGGTTTTAAACTCAGCAATCATTGGAAAGATGTCATCAACCACTTTGGGTCATGACTTGATTTGTGTTGTCAACCTCTGCCGTCAGCAGTGTCGATGTGTGTAGCGAGGTGCAATGCCCCCCCATCTCTCCCCCTACCCCCCCTCTCTCTCCCCCTATCTCTACCCTCTTCCTCCCCCCATTGTCTAACACACTTGGACTGCGCCCTCGCCTGCAGCTCCACCTCTATCTCTACCCCCCTTCCCCTATCTCTACCCCCCCTCTCCCCCTATCTTTACCCCCTTCCTCCCCCCCATTGTCTCCCTGCCCATGCTGGGCACGCACAGTCCTCCTCCCAACTCCCCCATTGTCTCCTCTACCCCCCCTCTCTCTCCCCCTATCTCTACCCCCCTCTCTCTCCCCCTATATCTCCCCCTATCTCTACCCCCCCCCTCTCTCCCCCTATCTCTACCCCCCTCTCTCTCCCCCTATCTCTACCCCCCTCTCTCTCCCCCTATCTCTACCCCCCTCTCTCTCCCCCTCTCTCTCCCCCTCTCTCTACCACCCCCCTCTCTCTCCCCCTAATCTCTACCCCCCTCTCTCTCCCCCTCTCTCTCCCCCTATCTCTACCCCTATCTCTACCCCCCTCTCTCTCCCCCTATCTCTACCCCCCTCTCTCTCCCCCTATCTCTACCCCCCTCTCTCTCCCCCTCTCTCTCCCCCTATCTCTACCCCCCCTCTCTCTCCCCCTATCTCTACCCCCCTCTTCTCTCCCCCTCTCTCTCCCCCTATCTCTACCCCCCCCTCTCTCCCCCTATCTCTTCCCCCCCCTCTCTCCCCCTATCTCTACCCCCCCCTCTCTCCCCCTATCTCTACCCCCCCTCTCTCCCCCTATCTCTACCCCCCTCTCTCTCCCCCTCTCTCTCCCCCTATCTCTACCCCCTATCTCTACCCCCCTCTCTCTCCCCCTATCTCTACCCCCCTCTCTCTCCCCCTATCTCTCCCCCCCTCTCTCCCCCCCTATCTCTACCCCCCTCTCTCTCCCCCTCTCTCTCCCCCTATCTCTTCCCCCCCTCTCTCTCCCCCTATCTCTACCCCCCTCTCTCTCCCCCTATCTCTTCCCCCCTCTCTCTCCCCTATCTCTACCCCCCTCTCTCTCCCCCTATCTCTACCCCCCTCTCTCTCCCCCTATCTCTACCCCCCTCTCTCTCCCCCTATCTCTACCCCCCTCTCTCTCCCCCTATCTCTACCCCCTCTCTCTCCCCTATCTCTACCCCCCTCTCTCTCCCCCCTATCTCTAACCCCCCTCTCTCTCCCCCTATCTCTACCCCCCTCTCTCTCCCCCTATCTCTACCCCCCTCTCTCTCCCCCTGTCTCTACCCCCCTCTCTCTCCCCCCTATCTCTACCCCCCTCTCTCTCCCCCTATCTCTACCCCCCCTCTCTCTCCCCCTATCTCTACCCCCCTCTCTCTCCCCCCTATCTCTACCCCCCTCTCTCTCCTCCTATCTCTACCCCCCATTGTCTGACTAGCTGCCCCCGCCCATGCTGTTTACGCTGCAGAAGCTCTCCTCCCCCTAACTCTCGTCCCCCACCCACTCACTTTGGAAACCCTCGTAAGCAGTTGCATTTGGAGGCTTGCCTTCTTTTCTCTCCGCCTGATGGCGACCGCTTGCATTGCGATCGAAACGTCGTGAGTTTTTTGCTCTTATTTTTATTCTATTTTTAATTTTATTTTATTATTTTATATTTTATTTTATATCTATGTGACTTTACCGAAAGAACTAAGAATATTTGAAAAATGATAATTAATTCGTAATTCTACATTTTTTTTATCGATGCTGATGAAAATTTTTACGACCATCATGATAATTCTGAATGACACGAAAACTTAATGGAGGTAAAACGTGATACATTTGTCAAGGACTATTTATTATGTATGATGATAAGTTGTTATTGATCACCGTTATGATGTTTGACACAGCAATTTAAATACAGCATATGAAACACAACAGAGCGCTGAATTTCCACCCCCACTGCTCAGGGTGGTTGATAAAAGAGGTGCCAATTTATGGAGGAAGTCAACCTTGCTTCCCCCTATGACACGTGGACTCGCCCTTGCTAAAGGCACGTGGAATCTCCACCACTGCCTTCATGCTGTGAACAGGAGATTTTCGCTGGTATTACACTCATTTGAATGGGAAGCCACTGACACACGTATATATAAAACTTTGCATGAGCAGCATTCTAAATATATAAACGTAAAGGCCTGTTTAATACATTAAAAACAGTCACATTACCTTACAGTGCGGAAAGTAAAACAGAGTTCAC